TGAATACTTATTCTCCATGTCATCATATGAAAGAACAAAAAATACATGCTGGCTTTGTTAATTGTTCATATTCAGCATGAATAAGCAATGCCAACTTAAATCAGTCAAAATCAATAGCTCCGTATCAAGAAAGCTGACCTTAAAATGTGTTAACGCCACTTTTAGCACAATTCTAGGAATCAATTCAACGCTAATCCTGAGACAAAAATGTCACTGGCTTCTCTAATTACCCGCTGTCCAGTGTAAAGAGTGAAAGTGAACGACACCTGACACACCAGCCTTGATAGTTATTTCTTATAAATTTAACTTAATTAAGTTCAACAATAATTTGTGCTAAAATCTTTACTGTAAACGTTGCTAAATTGCCTATTGTGTGAAATCTATGAGTCTTTTGACTTGTAGAGGAAGAGATGAAGCTTAAAATAAGTATAATGATGTCGGCTGTTTAAAAAGAAAGTTAAAACGAAATTACGATGAGAGAAGTGGAATATTAATGGAAGGTTATTATATTTTGACATAGCTGCACTAATGTTCACCTAACAAATATATTCAGCGCGAACCCAATTTGTGTTGCTTATAAAGTGTTCCAATGTGTGGTTACAGCTTAACAATGAATTTTATCTTCAAGTGGGGGCGTAGCAATGGCTCCCCTCTAGGTCCTCTCCTAGCCGATATCTTTCTGCCAAAATTAGTGAATCAACCACCTAAGAATGTAATCAACTAACTTTCGATATTTGGACGATACTTTTCTCTTGCATAATAATAAAATAGATGTTAAAGTCATTATCCTCAAATTCAATATGCCTCCAACCTTCTAGACGATGAAATAAGGAAAATGGAAAGTTCCTAATACAAGAATGGATACCTTGAAAAATGTGTCGAAGTATCAATGATGAGAACAGATATGAAGAAATGCTTGCAAAACTGTGAAGAACAAGCGCATAAACATGGATTTACCGCTTAAAAGACAGGCAGAAACTTAACTTCTGGCATCGAAACTATGATAGAAAATATAAAAAAACATTCGCTGCTGCGAAATCATTTTTAAAATTCACCGCTCACTGTACAATTCCTACGCACTTGTAGAATAAGCTCTCAACTCTGGCCACTGAAATGTCGCATTTATAAATTTAACTGTCGATGTGGAGAAATTTACATGAGTAGAACGACTCGGCAGGTTCACCGTCACCTTCTGAAGCGTTCTACAGCGTGGTTAGTTAAGCCATGATTCCCATAGTGTCTTCCTTAGTGGATACCGACAACAAGATTGACAAAATTCACCTTCTACAATTGTATACAGGATACCACATCAACTTCCTTGGTTGGCACGTCTTAAATTGCTATGCAAAGGTAAGGCAGTAGCAATGAATATTTTTGAACCCAACCTCTGCATCCGGAGGAATTTTGTTCAATCTCTCTCCCTCGCTTGCTCTTATCTTCAGACATGAAATCTTTATCTCTTCCGGTGACACTGGATAACTGCAAATATTATCTTACTATATTTTTATTTTATTTATAATGCAATCTGTATTATCAGTATCATCCTAGGCTAAACTTTTACATTTTATTCCCGGTTTCAAAATTTATCGTGATTATTATATCACCTAATCGCAATGTGATAGCAGTTATTTCCGCCTCTACCCCTATTAGTATGCACAATCCAGTACTCAATGTTACGCAGATTATATAAACACGAATAAATTTATCCTTGTTATTATTATTATCACCTAGACTGTGATTCACTAATACAAATCTCTGAACTGTGATACTGTATTTTATTAACCACATTAATTCAACTGCCTATGACGAATATTTCATTATATAAATGTGAAGCCTGATGAGAATTTACCGTAAATATGTATTTCCTGAAATCGTGTTCCGCCATTATCATTATGAGAATTTCTAAATAGAGAATCATCAATATCATAATTAACTATAAGAGGGAATCTTTCATCTCAATGAATGATATGCTACTTACGGGGGAATTAGAAATTCTCAATGTAATCAACGCAGTGATGGTTAGTATTGCTAATCCTCCAGCCGAGTCCAGTGTTATGATGTTTACCATCTCACTTCTATTCTACATTTTGCATCCAATAATGCGTGCCTCCACAGACACTGTTATCACCAGAAAGCAGGCTAATAGGGTCCATCATTCCAAAGGATTCGTCAGAGTAGGTAATCCGAAGAACTCTAATTTAGTATGCAATTTGTGAAGAATATTTTTTAATTGTGAAATAATGACGATTTCGCCTGAGATGGATTTGCACTGTTAAGTGCAAAGAGCGAATGCCATGGAAGCATGTAACTCTGAAAAGGTCGTATTTCCTAGCAAAATAATTATTATAATAAAAAGAAATATATGAAGACATCAGAGAGAAAACCTAAGACTTTGACTGCACGTAAAAAGCCTCTATTTATGAAGTTAAAATTAAATGGTGACTTATCTAGTAAGACATTGTTCCAGAGACTTTCCAGGAGTATACGGAGAACATTTTACGCAGCATACTTATGTTTGTCATTCTCCAGGCGACGAATGAATGGCACGCAAACGAAGGATAAGGTAGATAGCTTTGACACATCTATGTGCATTTATCAATTCAACTGCATCTGCGGCGACAGTTATGTTGGGCGTACTACTAGACAGCTTAGCAAGTGTGCTAGTGAACATCTCCTATCGTGGTTTGGCAAAAGACGGACAATAACAATCCTTAGCTCAATTCTGTCACATTTAATTGATAGTGGTCATGTAATGGACAAAACGAAAGCTTTCAAAGTAATTCATCATCTTGCACCGAATCTTTCCAATAGACTTCGTTTTTGTCTACTGTGCACAGCTGAGGCTATAAGCATTCGAACTATTAAACCTAAACTATGCATTCAAAAGAAGTCCGTGCAGCCATTATCCCTCCATTGTTGGCCTATGAAGAAGTAATCAACTAAAGACTTCAACATCACCCCTTGTTTATATTTTCAACCCCTTTCTCATCATCCTTTAATCTTATCACATCATTGTAAATGTGTCTCATTTACTTCTCTTACAATTAGTCTAGCATTACGTACTGGCCTTTATCGACTACTTCCACCTGAACAATTGTTTATTTAATCATGCTGTTTTTCATTATTCGTGTTATCACAGATTGACTCGCCTTTTTCATCCTTATTATTGATATAACCGTTATTATTATTAATATTATTATCATTACTTTTATTGTGATTAATTGGACAATTTATATTCACCATCTTATTATTCTATAGACAGAACACCATGAATGGTATATATATGAATTTCATTTGTAAATCTATGTATATTAGAGTTATGCCTGATGAGATCTAATTCAAAGCAATAAATCTGTTCGTTTAAATTTGTAGTTCTAAATATTATAATTGCGACCGATATCTTTTGACTCATGGTCTCATTAAACCATTATTTTCGAAAGCATGGTAGAGGTAAAATGATGCAGAAAACCTAGTCAAACACAAGAGAAGGCCTTCATCACTCAGTGAATCAAAGAAACCTTAGAAATCAATTCCTCGACACACGCTTCTATAAAACTTAATCATCTACCACATCCGATCTGCCATAGGGATTCCGGGTAACTACGTCCCCTAAAATATCCTCAATTGGGAAATTTCGTGGTGTTACTCATAAACATAATGATGTTTCTGACTCATGCGCTAAGTTGGAAAACTCAAACAATGTGCCCGACGAATTTTTGAAGATTCGTATCGCACAATATGTGTTTGAAAGTACATGATACAAATTTGGGCTCGTTGTCAACGTTTAACCTAGACCAAGCGGAATGAAGGCCTAATTATCTGGGGATCTCTCTTGATTGTTTTTAAAGAAATAAACACTAGTGTGCTCATCCGGCAAATTTCACTGAAGAAGACAAGTGAAATTAAAGGACAAATCAAGGGTATCGACTTTCAATGAAGCACGTATGTTATACTTTCAATAATAAAATCATATGATTACTTTTCGAAGGTATTCGCTTGCAAAGGTAAGTCCAATAATGATATTCTGTGACTGCAGTCCTTTGAAAGTTTTTACATACCTTTGATTCTTTGCTCATGTTTACTTCTCAAGTTGTCCAGAACAAAATCACTCAGAGTGATTATCAGTCTGAATGGAATAACGTTTTGGATCAACTTGTGCAAAAAAATGTATATCATTTAAAAATGTTGATATGGCAGAATTTATGAGAAATCTAGAAATTGCCAGGGGCTTTATTTTACAAAGGCGAGTTTGCATACCAGTGGTGACTAGGAATATCAGGCTTTGACTACAATCAATTCTTCTGATTCACTGGATGAAGGAGTATGGCGCGTATCTCAGGTGGACCATCCAAATCCAATAAAATGAAGTGCTTAAAGTGAAACTCTCCGATGGTACACATTCTTTTACGAGAATGAGCGTCTAGGTTGAAACATTCCAACCGCCCATCATGAAATAAGCGTTGATGTTCCTGCCAATAGTATGCCTCATACCAAACGAACAACAGAAACCAGTATCTTTCTATCTCATTGGTACTCATTGACTTTATCAACGAAACTTAATGAGAGAATGCATGCAAGAATATGGTATCGACCGCAATAATACCGCCTAAATATTTCATACCTGTGAGGTTCTGGTTAAGCGATAATAACCCACCTTTAAACTATGCTGCTATCCAGCTAGCAATTTTGCAATAATCAATATCATCGTTTTGTTTAATTTTTCGGAATTACCCTTGACAACTATTCGTGAGCATTTTCCAGATTTATTATTCGATCAATCCCCATTACTTTCTAGTATCCCTAAAGAGGTGTAGACGAGATCTGGATATTATGTTCACTAAAACCGTGACAACTATTCAAAAGAAACTTGAGGCGAATTACCCAACCTCATAAGCGACTTGTTTGCGATGGATCTCTCATACATTACTTGCAGAAACTGTTATATCGCAACCCGCCACCTTTTATCCTTTGAAACTTCAAACTTCCAAGTTACACAAAAGATGATGTTGGGAAGGAAAAGTCATGTAAGTAATATATGTATTGTAGGAATGGGGCTGAAGCCATCAAATGGTCTCTATTTGGTGAGGAGGGTAAGTTCAATTTAAAAATAATCAATCGTTAGTTATATCTCGTGAAAGTCCACTTGAATAACTATTACTGAAACTCTCATATCGACCATAAAAATCAAACAAATTGAATGTGATTCTGTGTCACGATCAAGGTTCAAGTATTCTTAACAAAAAACACAAACCAAAATATTCACGAACCAACACTATATAAATGTTCATTGATTCGTTTATTCATTAGAATACGAAGATTAAAAGAGAAATAAGTGAGTTGTGCGCGACAGTTTTAATGTCAGTTTCAGTGTTTTAGTGAGTGAAATTCGCATCTTCGAAATGTTGATTCATACTGCTTATTATATACTTGTGTAGATATGTGTGGGATAACTTCAGTGTTTATCTATTCAGGTTTTCGCAGTGATGCCGCGTGGTGTCTCTCAACTGAGGGCGACAATCAAAGTTAGGATTTCGTACGTAGTTTCATCCTTTCACTTTCTTAATGCCTAATTTGGTTTTGGTATGTCTGCCGTTATTCTGAATCCTTCCAGCTTGTCCTTGATAGGCCTTAGAACCGAAAAATGATCTGCATCCTAATATACACGCATTTTGAATCTGTATCAAGCATACTGCGTCTTCATACCATTCAGGTTAATCGTATCTGTTTTTGGTGTGTCTGTCAGATGATATTTATGTCGTCTTGTATATATCATTTCGCTTGTGCGCACTACTTCCAGTCAGCAAATAACTGAAAGCTCAGAATTCCCTGAAGCGTTCTACATTGTCATTCATTTCTCTGAACTCTTCTTTATCTATGGCTTGGCATTTATATCCCGTTCTAAGATTATGATATCTCCATTTGAATGTCATCATTTTCTGTTTGTTGTCGTTTCCCTTCTTCGTCTGTTACCAGTCGTAGTAAAACTGTAGGACTGAATAATTGTAACCTTCCTTCGTTTATGTCGAATGTTGCTGTTGTAATTCTGGAGGAGATTGGTCTCCAGTGCATTGAATCTTTGTATAGTATTGTTGAAGCCATTATAGCCACACAATCAGTATGCCCGTGGTTTTAATCTGAGTGACCAGAGTAGAATTTCCAACTGATAATACCAGATACTCAAGCTAATCCCTCAACCAACACTGAAAGCAAATAAAAGTGATAGATATTAGACAATAAAGGCGCATAGATCAGCAAAGGATTGCCAATTGGAAACAGAATATTATTTTTACAATGATTATATTTTCGAAGTATTTTGCTTTCTTCATCATTTTATAGATCACAAAATGTCGAACCAAACTGTGCAATTCCCCCGTTTGAAAAATTCAAGTCTAGGTTTCAGGCCAGGCAGCCTTTTCCACTTCTTCATATGGGTGAGACGTTGCCGTCTTTAGCTAAACATGCCTCACATAGATGATAATCGACACACTGTTGATGCTTCTAGTGACAACGACCATGGTTGTAATGGTGAACACAGTGTAAGACCGAATTTCCTCATCACCTTGATAGACTAATTCAACCCTTTGTACAGTGCCGGACTTTCTGAATGGGTTAAAAAATACAGCTGGCTGACAGTTCTCCTTATGTGAGTCACTTTTATAATGTTTCTATCAAATATGTCTATGTGGGTTCAGTGCATTTTGTTAGCTTTACATCGTAGGTTCTATGGCTAACCAGTCCTCCAGCAATGGATTCTATGAATAAGACTTTCTGGCAGACATTGTTTTTTCGTTGAAATGACATTATTTACCTCTCTGCATAATAAATAAAGGAAGTATTAGATACAAAGAATATGGAAATATTGTGAAATTCATTGATATGGTTAAATCCGCGTTCACCTGTATGTGGTCGGATATCTATTTACGTTCATGATATTGCAACAACGTCACACTATTTGACTTCTGTTTAATATATTCTGAAAATATGAAAGACTCCTGTGGACATGAATGCTGGGGCAACACCCCACGAGTATATACCCCTTCTTAACAATGTTATCCTAAATTTTAAAGAGGACACTTTAGACACAACGCTAATTAATCCGTTTACGAAAATTAATCATTTCAGACTAATTGGAGCACTTCCAGTCCTGGTCCTCGCATTGCTTAAACTACTCGGATATCACCGCGACATTGATCACTTTCTCATAGTATTCAGTGTAAGTATTTCAATTCTTCGATTTTACTTATATTAATGGGTTACACACAAAAGTTATATCCTGTCACTCATGTCATTTCATAATAATTTTTTTATTAGATACATCACAAATTGAAACAATAAAATCTACTGCATCACGTGTCGAACACAACTCATAGTACATAATCAGATTACTCCTATTACATGCATCATCATTTGATTTAATATACACAGCTTCAATTATCTATCTCAAAGTTCGCCCTGTTATGTTCCATTCCTAGAATATCATCTTAACAAGCACACTGTTAGATTTGTGTGTAATCGCGGGTAGCACAATAGTTGAACGTATTGTGATTCCGTGTCTTATTCAAGTCCTCTAGGCTAGGTTTCGCCAAGTCTGTTTGCTCCGATCGCATCACTGACCTCGTTCTCTTCTGTTGAACTAAGTATGTGATTTGACAATCACTAGAGCGTATTATATTAACTAAATCTTTTTGTTTAACTGAATTCACAGGATCCGTCAAGCGACAAGGTTACTTTCTGATTGAATGTTCAGGTTTGAATGTCTTTTTATTCCTGCAAGGGTTTTCAAGGTTTCTTGGAAGTAGTAGTGATTCAAATCCTCTGCATATTTCTCATGTGTGTTTTCATTTTTATTACTATTATCATCACTATCACGACGATTATTATTATTAATCATTTTAAAACATCTAAACTCATATATCACGACGTAACACATACAAAACATTGAAGCGAATCAGCATACCTATGTTAATGTGTCTGCGTGTGTGAATTAAAGCAATAAGCTGTATGAGTTGGAAGTCTAATTCACACATTTTTGAAGATCTCAAAGACAATACGCCTATCGACATTTTTGGAATGCAGTCTATCATGCAACTAGAGAATGCGAGTGACTCAACAGCATACTTTCCACCCTCGGTCGCCTACGCATTTACTCAACTGTTATTTCTCAAAATTTTTTCAGTTCACACTCAGGCACAGAAAGTAGGACAAGCTTTAGAGCCATTTGAACGGTATCACAGGTATAAGAATCCAAATCTAGTACTTATTAAATTTTGTGTATAAACAACTTCACAGAATGCTTAAAGAGAGCGAATATACAATTGAGGAATAGCATAATTGTCTTGATGCCTAACATCATACGAAACTGATGTGGATATTTCAACTTCGACATTATTAGAACAGGTTTTGAATATCAGAACCTATATCTAATGATTTTCGAAAGCAGAGAAACAGGAAAATAGCTCATGGTTCCTCCTAGTGAAGATATTTTCAGAACATTTACATTTTTAGTGAGGACCTTATTCAGTGTCAACGCATATACCACAATTGCTTTTCTGTAGATCTAGATATATGTATATATCTCAGAATGCAGCAGTTAAGCCATAAAGTTGTGATGAATGTAATGGCCATGTTTATGTCGTACTTTCATGTGACCACGAATGCACCATATCAAGGTTGTAAGGAGAAACACAGTTTCGCTCAGTAAAGAAATAAAGTTTTGTCCAATGACTTGATTTTTAGGCTATGGAGTCAGTAAATCAACTTTTTCAGCTTGTCTTTTGCTCTGCTTTATAGCGTAACATATGTGCTTCTCAATTTCGACGATGAGTGGAATTCCGAATTTCACTTCTTTGATGTTAACCTAAATTGAAGACATGTACAGAAAACCGAAGTCTACAGGACAGTTCTCTGACTTCAACAGGTACTTAGCACTAGGTAGAAACATAAATCTTATTCATCCTCTACATTTCAGAATTAGAGAAATATGCACCTTAGATATAATCGATAAAGAACTAATAAACCATAGCACGACTCTCATAAGTTCCGTATATCCAGTGAGGTTTATTGACAAAAACATCAGGAATGAAGCCATCCTCAGCAAAATTACAGTGCTGATGAAGACACTGTTAGTGTGGTTGGCGTTAAAAGAGGGCTTAGTTGCTGAAATGAGTAAAACTCTGACATCTGAATGAATTGAACACTCTTTTATCCAGCTGAGTTATATTTGGTATTCACCAGTCCAAGTATTAATCGACAATGCGTCAAGTAAAAACAAGCTCTGATTTTCATCTCTGTTTCCATGTTCTTTTTCACATATTCATGTGGAGCTACTCAATTTGTCGTTACGTGTCCTTCATGGACGCCTAGCCGAAAACTACTCGTTTTACTTAATAAAAGGCAGCCACTGGATGATGAACTCTGAACTGAGGTCACTTAGGGACACGTGACTTATTTTTCCAGGTTACGTTAACGGCCAAATTCAACCACTCTGATAGCTTACTTTTCCTCTTCTTGTGCATATCGGAAACTCTGGCTGTATACAAACACCTTCCTTCAACTTGATCATAGTAAGGTCCTTTTATTTTATTATACTTTAACACTTCAGTTCGTTTATTTTTACTTCGCATACTCCGAATTCCTTTTATCTCATCATACTCTTGAGTTTCAGAGAGCACTTGATGTGCTAACAAAATCGCAATACGAATTCACCTATTTAATAATGTTTGAACTGTGTGTAATTCGTCTACATCAACTCTTCCTCCCTGATACATCATTTCTAGTATTTTATTGCTAACCATATGTTTATTGACTAAACAGTTTCTAGTGGCACCATAATACAAATACGACTGAAAAGACTGAAAATGAAGTCATTCAAAGGAGAGTTTCTCCACTGAACGAAACTGTCTTATCCTGTATTCAGGTTAGGAAAGGTTTAGTTGCAACAAAGAAAAGTCAAAGATGTAAATGAGATACTTAACTCATACCTCAACAAGGTAGTAAAATTTAATAATACAACCTCCATAATCAACAAAAATTTCCTCTGTGTATATGTAACTCATTTGCATAATTTACCAGTTTAACCTCTTTCTTTCATTTTAGTTCGTACTATGTTCGATGGGTTTTGCCACCAGGTTAACTAATGCTGATTGGGTGCTTGCTTTGGCAGCAATTGGTTCAACAGTTGCATTGACTGCAGTTGTGGTCCTTCTGGCTCTGTATTTCAAACAGATAGATTTTCGAATAACCATCACACTTTTCTCACTTTTATATGCTTTTGTCCTTATTGGAATTATTTTGTTCATTATTGAATTCACAACAAATGGAGCAGAGGAAAAAGTCAAACAAGTGAGCTGTTTCACATCTTTTGAAACGCTTGACTTGATTTATAACATTTTCATGGAAAGTGAGATGCTGTCTTACTGATATCAAATATATATAAAGAAATATCTCACAGGAAGATAAGTAACTGATACTTTACGAATGCACCACAGATGTATATTACTGTAAGATTATTGAATGTTATCTATGAGACGAGTGTATTACACTTCTACTCTTTTATATTTTCCTGTTAAAAACATCTTCGAACTACGTGATTTTAATCACCGCAACTAATTAGATATTGTTAGGCCGTTTATGATTATCGATAATGGTAATCTGTCAGACAACTTACAATAGATTACAACGTTAGCCTTACAGAAATATCTGAAACACAATAAGATAAAGTTGTGAAGTGTTATTTGAGCTGAATGTCTTTGCAGAATAGGTTATGACCAAATCATTTTGAGAACGCGTTTGCTGAAAGCATTAGCCATACTCATGTATTCAGATTTGATTCATTAATACATTCATCAATCAGATGTAAGTTTTAAGATGCGAAAACCTTAAACTTTGATTTATTTCATGTTTTCAGAAGGCATTGAAGATTTCTGTTGGATTTGCTTCATAGTCGCCATGGTGCTAGTAAGTTTCACTTGAATATATTCACAGAAAAATTAACGTGCGAATGCAGTGCATCTATGACTAAACTTACAGGTATTTATCAACTTTCTCCTAAGGAAGGACTGTTCTCAATGTGATTGAAGTAGAATTCACCTCGTTCTTGTTTTCTGAATAGTCCACGTATGCAGTGAAGTTGAAAATTTGTGAACTGTTCTGTCGTTATATCGTGAAATTCATGAGTGTGAATATGTTTGCGTAACACATCAGTGATGTATAATACAAAATACGTTTTCCTTAGATCTTCACAACACCATATGTACTCGCAAATTATTATTGCATGAGTCAATCATTCAATGTACAGAGAAAGTACAAATAATTATTGAGGTGATAAACCATATTGCATTGTTACTTCAAATAAGGCTGAGTTTGAATCAGAATTAGTGAGCAGGAAATCAACATCACGTTGTCTGTTGATTTCTGAAATCTACTCATGGCAACTGGACTGAAAGAAAATGGATGTTTTCAGTGTATTCATCATATGATTGCCACTTTCATATTGCATATCAAGTAATGATGAAAGAATTTCCCTAATAGATGCACCTTCAGTTTACTTTTATGATATGTAGGTTAATCATGTGAAAAACGTGTCAGTCAGTCCACTGTTGTAGTATAAATAATCCTCTTTTAACCAAACCTGATAACTGACATGATACTGCTTTATTTTCTCACATTACAGGCTATTTTCTTGACAGTGAATAGGCTGAGATTTTGCATTGCATTTAAAGACGTGTATTGCACAATAATATTTCGAGCATTTTGTTTGTGGTTGGAAATGATCATAATGTTTGCTGCAATATATGGTCCATTTTATGATCGTGAAAGAGCTTTATAAAATGCATGATGGCATCCAAATTCCCATACTTGTTGTAATGTGTCATTTCCGATAAATAAATATTCATGAATTTGAATGACTTCAAGTTTTTATTCAGTTACATAGTATGGAAAACGTCAAGATGGTGTGTCTAAAATGTCTTCAAAGTTGAACACTTAGTCGATTTGTCAATCCAAAACACGATAAATATGAAGTTCAGTCAACCGAAGGATGAAGAGAAAATGAGTAGAATGTATAAATTAAGTTTCATAACTGAAGCGACTTTTCGTATATGTACTCCTTTGAAGTATGCTGTATATTACGTAGATGTCGTAAGATGACACAGCAGCTTTCCATGAACTTCGAAGATATTCAGCACACTTCAAAGTTGTCATGAGATGTGTAGTAATTGTGGTGGGTTTTTAACTTCAACTTTAACAATACAGGTGCCTCATAGAAAATGATAACTGATGTAATCTGTTATTTTCACAGTCAGTGATATAAAGAAAGTAAAACGTCGGACTCCGAAGGTTATTGATCTCACCATTAAACATTACATTCACCCGTAAAATCTTGCATGATTTATTCGCATTTGAAGTAAAACTTCCGAGTTGAGTGTTCAGGGAAGTATTGAACAAGCACTATAACCCTCTTTGAAAATTAAAACATCGTTAAAGACGCCAGAGTTGACGTTTCTCACTGGGGTTACATGAGAGCGATGACCTGAACCATAATGTCACTTAGTGAACTTTTCATCACCTTTTCCATCCAACTTCAATTTTTTTCGGCATTTTGTTGATCAGTAGATTCTTCATTCGTCACATGCCAATGTTCATAGTCGCTAATTATCTCAAATCGCTTCCTTATTTAAAAATGCAGGCAAGCGCATAAGTCATATACTCAAACAATTTGTCTTACTGACAGGTCACTAAGACTGGTATATCTTAGATCTCACTTTTGCATTTATGCCCATAAATGCTTTTCATGGGGACAACCAATCGATGGCCAGGTGATCAGTGTAAATAAATGTTCTGAAGGCTATTGCCAGAATCGGTTCTTTTACTTCGTTGACTATATTACGATGGATCAAAAGTCAATCTGAACGAAGAATATTCTTTCCAATAATTTCTATTCAAATTCTTACATTACAAAAATATAATATTTGTTGTCGTTACAATAAAGGCCAATTACGCCACAGATACTTTTTTAACGTAGAATAACAGATTACTTATGAGGTGTCAAAATAAATAGTCGTATTTTTGTAACAAACATGCTAGTATGAAATCGATTACAAAATATTGTAAAATGGGTAACAATGGTGGTGATTATCATAATAGATTTGTAGAGTGTGGGGTAGGAAAATTGACAAATCAGTTCAAGGTTAGAAAAGGTGTCAGATGAGTGGAGTGGCTAGTACAAAGTGGTCTGTGTTAAACAGGAGATAGTAAGACTGCAATGAGACGTTCATAATGAAATAACGAATATGTGAAATGAAACAGGTGGAGGCATATATTGAGAAAACAGATAATATCGTTAATAATAAGTCCGGATAGTCTAAATGAAAAATTCGACAGTATTGAGGAAATCGTTGCATGAAGGGCATAAATTATGACGAATAATAATTGTAATAATAATATTTGTAATGATAAGCAAAGTAAAAAAGAACAAGAGGGTTAAGGGGAAGGAGCACTCTTGGTGAGAAGAAGAACCACCAATCCAAGTTTGACCACGGTAGGAACAGCGTCTGAACGTGTTCTTTTTGGATACAAACTTCCGGTTTAGTCAATCATACTGCAATATTTTCAGCTATATGTATGAGACATAGGTGAACTGTACGTGATAACGACTTCGAAAGCTGCGTTGACATGGACACGATGTCCACTATCGACCAAGTGTGACAAGATCGAGCTTTTAGTGCACTTAATTTCCCCTCTGCTGAATCAAGCTGAAAAGTGTTCTCAAACCCGTAGACTAACCTGCATCAACGTGAGCCCTATAAAACTTGAACAACGGGAACAGTTGAAATGATATATGCATGAAGAAGAGCTAAGGTTAGGTAAGACATCTTTGAACTGCTGGGTGAACATTGGACGGCAACTGTAGGATAGACAGAGACGTGCAAAGTAGAAATTTTTTTTGATCACCCTCGTTAAACGTTACGATAGAATATCCGCAGGACTATTTCCCTTGAATTGGATACGTAAATACAGAGGCTTTTTCTCCACCGTTGACAGTTCATGTTTACGACTATTGTAACCTATGTTGGCTTTAATGAACTTCTCTAAATATCGCTTCTCACTTAGAATGTCTCGGATGACCTGGAGTTCTGTCTTTACGCAGTCTTCGAAACAAATAGACCTCGCTTTAAATGCTAAGCACTTGATTAGATTACGTTTGTATTTCATCGGTACGAAGCTAAGAAAGTGTGTATACTGAGCTTTGTTCTCTAACCTTCTAAATATGGTTCTTCTAACGGAACCATCCTCTCTTCTCATTACTAGGACGTCGAGGAAGCGTGGAGAGTCGTTGTATCCTCCTTTGTAGGTGAAATGGACCATTGTGTGAGCATTATTGAAGTTACTGAAAAGCAGATCACTACTTAGCCCTTTATCGCACACTACAAAATTATCATACATGTAACGACAATACAATTCAATTTTCGCTATTTCCTCTTTCAACGGACTACTTTCTAGTTTTGCTAGAAATATGTTCGCCAAAATAGGTCCCAGTGGGGATCCCATGGCTACTCAATCAACCTGTGTGTACATTTCATTATTAAACCAGAACTGGACATTTGTTGTGCATTTAACAAGTAGTTGTTTCAGATTACTGATAGGAATATCAGTGCAAAATTTCTTTTCTATTATCTGTTTGCAGATATATTCGATGGTTTCCACTAGATGCACATTAGTGAATACAGATGAAACATCAAATGATGGCATGTATTAGCCAGTAGCAAAATTTGCAATCATCATGTGCATCGTATTACTTTAAAGCAACTCAATGATTTCCTGAAGTTCAACGTGTGACCCTCCGAATGAAGAATATGTATCGAATTGATAAATTATTGTATCTACAAAAATTGATATCCCTAACTCTGTTAGACATTATTACGTAAAAGCAGAATAACACAATGTAAAATGAATTTAAAACGAAATGCACTTAATCAGCTCGAATTAAACCAGTCAGGGGACAGAATCTAAGGTGTGAATACATGAAATATTCATACTTTGAAATGCAATCAAAATACCCGTGATCATAATCACGGTTAAATATCAACTGACAAAACAATTATTGTCATATACAGAACAGTTCATAAGATGTTTAGGTGTTGGAAAGGAGTGCATAACTATAGTGTGAGTAGGCTAATATAAAACATCAATTGACATGGTGTGAAATTTGAAAACATTGCCTTCAACATTGTAAAATAATTTTCGGATTCATATAACAAGTGTGACAGATGTAAACGATCCAGAGTGAGAATGGTTACAATAATAATAGTAATAACAATAGAAATGATAATCGTAATAAGGAGTGAAACGTTTTGATGTGGTTTTGTTCTCTGAGCTGGATAGTTAGTTTGCGAAGCTTTCATCACCTTACTGGGTGACATCTTCAGCGCATACTTCAAATTGAAGTGAGCTTTTAGGTTTCTCCACGAGTTTATTAATCATTCCTCCTGGTGACCTTGGACGTGATTGGTTGTTTATGTATGTTTTCACACCTTCTAGGTTACTTGTGTTGGAACTGATTGTTTCTGTGACTTGACTTTTGGCCAATCGTGTGTGAAGTTTCTTTCTTATTGGTTGATAAATTTTGTCTATCTCGATGTGTCTATTGATTGATGATTCACTGGAATGCCAAGCTTCTAAAAATTCTCTAGCATTCTTGTTATATGAAGTTATTTGAAGTATGCGCTGAAGATGTCACCCAGTAAGGTGATGAAAGCTTCGCAAACTAACTATCCAGCTCAGAGAACAAAACCACATCAAAATTATCCACCTGAGCTACAAATCTTCTCTATCATAGTGAAACGTTTGCATTCAACAACTCTACTCCTCCTTTACAATTCCCTTTAGAAAAATAATCTGAAGCAAACTTACTCTCTCTTGATGTGTGCCTTATTAAACGCAATAACGAATCTCTCGAACAATCCATCACCTGAAAATGTACATAGAATGGATAAATAACTAACTGTAGTCGGTTGCCTTATCTCAGTAAAAGGAACTGAAGTCGTTCTGTCTGCTTGAGAATAAGAAAAATGTATAGCCCTGATTGAGTTGACTCGGAACTTGAATTACTAAAAGCCGTTCTAGCAGAAAGCTGTTACACCAACTCAGTCATTGACAGAATTACGAAAGAGCAGCACTTTAAACCAGTAACTCAGTCGTTTTCGAAGAAAATCATAGTCATGAACTGGGAACTAAGAGGTGATCAAACCACAGATATGCTCAAAATGATCTTCTCGAATCAATCTGTGAAACGTTCTTTGCTTCGAAATTACAAATGGAGTTCACTAGCCGTAAGTGTTCTCCACTTTTTTGAAAGATACGCTCTTTCGTTCATCTGCCTCCATTTACATCTATCAAGTTAACCTGCTCTTGTGAAGCAAGGCACATTGGCCGTAGCATAAGGACGTTCTCCACACGGATGATATTACACATTTCAGCATAGCTTTACAAGGGAGAAAAGAAAAGTGTTCGTAGCTCTATTCTACAATACATTTGGTTGAAACCTGTCACTCTATCAACCCTGAACCCTGTTGAAAGATCACCTATAGAATCCATGCTTGATGCTGCGTTTCTTTCGACATAAAATAATGGATTCTCTAGAAGCCTTGACCATTCATGCACTTAAGCCAGTAATGCGTGTAAAATCGACTTACGTA